ACAGCAACCGTTCAAATTTACAGCAACCGTTCAAACTTACAGTGCTGAATGAAGGGACTTATGACCGATGCCTGAAGTTACAGCTGTTGCAGTGCCCCTGCGGTCACATGATCGCAATCTGGGCCCTTGGCAATCAGTTCACACTTACGACCAGTTGCCAAGTGCCCCGTGATCATGTAATCTCTATTTGCAATCTTCCCTGCTGGCTTCCCCAGAAAGTCAATGGGGAAGCTGGCAGGGAAGATTGTAAGCCACTGCCACCTGCTAAGAGGATTCCCTCTCTGAGGGCTGACTGAAAACACCCTGTGGCAAAATCCTGCTTGGATTTCAGGATGGAGCTCTTTTAACCAATCCCCAGAGATGAGAGGGAGTCCTCTTGGCTCTGGGGGCTAGCTGAAAACGCCCCGTGGCAAAATCATGCTTGGATGTCAGTATAGAGCTTTTTCAGACAGCCCCCAGAGATTTCGGCACAGAGCTTTTTCAGACAGCCCCCAGAGATGCCCCATGTTGAAATCCAAGCAGGATTTCTAGCTCCAGAGTGGAGAGGCTTCCCCACTGTGCCTGAGGCTTGCACCTTCCTGCTGACTTCCCCACTGACTTGATTGTGGGAAGTCAGCAGGAAATTGTGTCACCTAATGACCTGTGATTCTCACTTAACGACAGCAGCTGGGGGTGCTGGAATTGCAGTCACTAAAAGAAGAGGAGACGTGACATCTCACTTAACAACTGCGTTGCTTAGAGACCTAAATTCCAGTCCCAATTGTGGTAATTAAGCAAAGACTACCCATAACTCTGGGGGAATCAGAGTTGAAAGTATCTTAACGTTTGGTCTGAGCTTTTATATTCTGTCTTATATGTACAGGTAGTCCTCATTTAACAACCGTTCATTTAACGATGGTTTGAAGTTACAACAGCCATCGTAAAACGTCACATCCCCCCACGCCTGTGGTCACATGGCCACATTTCGGGTGCTTGGCAACCGGCTCTCATTTATGACCAGTTGTCAAGTGCCCCACAATCATGTGATCACCATTTGCAGAGAAGGTTGCAGGCAGAGGGGACAGAGGAGAGCTGAAATCCTTCTGCAGACTGCAGGAATGAAGCTGAAATCTTCAGGATTTGAGCTCCATTCCTGCAGCCCCCAGAAGGATTTCTCCTCCATGCACAGAGAGGAGGGGAAACCCTTCATGGGGATGCAGGAACAGAGCTCAAATCCTGAAGTTTTCAGCTCCATTCTTGCAGCCCCACAAAGGATTTCTCTTCCATGCACAGAGGGGAGGGTTTCGAAACCCCTTGATGGGCTGTAGGAGTGTTTGAGAGCCAAAGGGCTGCCTGCCAGGAAGGTTTCAGGTCTGAGCGGAGCTCTAGCAGGCAGCCCTTTGGCTCCATCTGCTTAACAGTCCAGGAGGTCACTTAATGATCGCAATTGGGGAGTGGCTGGATTGTAGTCATTGAGCAAAGCAGTCACGTGGGCATTTTGCTTAGCAACTGTTTCAGTCAACAATTGAGATTCCAGTCCCAGTTGTAATTGTTAAGCTAGGACTACCTGTACAGCCTCTGAAGGAAAAGAGTTGTTGTTTCCAAAATTATTAGATGCACCTCAAGATCAGGTTTCATATACTTGTTTTTTATAGAATAAAATAATTTCTGTCTTTCAAGGGCTGATTCAATTTCTTTAACTCACTTAATTGAATCTTAATATGGAAAAACATTAACTATATTGAGCTAAACTTTTCAGCAAATAGTTTCCTTCCTGTTTATTGCTTGTCAACATGTTTATAATTCCAAACCACTTGGTGGCACCCTTGTCGCTTTAGGAGTTTTATTTTTATCTGGATTGGAAGTATAATAGTTGTAGAAGAAATGTATGTTCCAGTCCTCATGTGTGTGAAATAGTCTGTGAAGCTGAGCCTTTGATATTTTGAAAATTATTTATTCACATACCAGCAGAATTGTGATTTAGAATTTTTGAATTGCATATTAGTTGTTCCTTTCATGATTTCTGCTGAATAACACTAAGCAAAAATAGTCTTACTAAGAAGCGTGAAATGGTATTTTGTATTCTAATAAATTATTATTATCAACAAAGGCCACAACCTCAATTTGTTCCATATGTTCTATGGAACAAATATGTAAAACTGTATAAGAAGCTCCATTTAGTTAAAAATTATCTGTCTTGTGGATTACTGCAATGCTGTTTGAGAAATGTCCAGTTTCTCACTGGATGCATGGAGTTAGAGAATTCCAGGGATCTTGATCTTAGATTAAAAAATAAAGCTGGCGAATACTGAGTGTGTTCTTTAATCATCTACAAGTTTTCAAGCTATATCTCATCCCTTGTACTACTTCTAGAATGTCCTTTTTGGTAGATACCGTTTGAATTGAAAAATAAGGGTTGAAGCTCCACCATAGTCTGTAAAGTGTAAGTCACCAAAGAATTGACCAAATGTCATATAATTCACATGGATCAGTTACAGAAGATAATATAGATAAAGTGAACATAAGACTGGAAGGTAAGCCAGGCATTCAAGTATGCCGTTCATAATGTACAGGTGATAAACTTCAAACACATTACAATTAATGTTTCTTTTAAAAAAAAAACTTTAGTAATTTGTAGTATTATATATAAATAACAATATAACTATATTACTATTGTATAAAAATATTTAGTTTAAAAAACAGACCCAACTGCTCTTTTTAAAAAGCTATATAGTGAAGAGGAAATTTTTTTAAAAAGAATAGTAAAAACCCTATACTAAACTATTTACAGAAGAAGAAGAAAAAACAGAGAAAAAAACCCTTAGGAAATAGGAAAATAAATTTTAAAAAAACCTCTATAAGTAACTAAACAAAACTAAAAAAAAAATCCACCTAAACCACATGTAATGATATATGTGCCAATTTAAACAATATCAGTCTATCTATAGGACTATTAAAATATGTAACTTTCTTCCATATTTTTAAATAAAAAGTATTTAATGTTTAATCTTAGACCATATGGAATTATATTGTTTGGTCTTTCCTGCCCTTCAGTACAAAGCTGATTGAAAGGCTGAGAGTTAAGAAAGCCAACATTCAGAATCTTGGACACAAGCATTCTTCCACAACAACCCTTTTCTCAACAGTCCAAACTCTCTATATACAATGTCCTTTGTAGTTTGAAAAATTCCAGATTTTTTTAATATAACAAAGCATTACTATCTTTAACCTTTAATTGCCTTCAAAGAATATAATTCACCACAGTAATGTCTAACCATAAGGAATTACAAGTGGACATGCCCATAATACAAATACCAAAGTTTCTACATATTTTTTTATTTTTCAAAATGTGTAGATTTAGATTCAGTGGAAGTCTTCTCCAACATATGCAGTGTTTCTAGAGCTTCAGATGAGGTGTAAGTATTGAGGCAATTCTAAGTAAATTGTTTTCCTTTTATTAAATCCAGAGGTACTTAAAAGTATCTTTGCTAAATAGTTATTGAGAGTAATAATTCCATTATTTTCCAACAAAATGTATTACCAGGCATTTCTAAATATGAATTACTCCAAAGATCAATTTCCTCATTAGAGAGGAAAAATCCATTTTAAATTTTCTTCCCATTAAGGCACTACTTTCAGTTCTGGAAAAATAACTTAATTTTTCCTATAATTAGAAACAAGAACTTGCCAAAATTGCAAGGGCACTAAATAATAACTCTCAAGCTGAGCCCATAATGGTATATGTACAATATTGTTTCCATTACAGTACATGATTGAAGTTAACAAATAGCCCCAATTATATTGTTTAAACTTGGGAAAATTAAACCTACCATTATCATAAAAAAGACATAACTTTAACAAGGAGATCCTGAGTATTTTTTCTTCAGTAAAAATTTAACTATTATCAGTTTAAAATATTTAAGTGAAATCAACATGGATGTTATGCTCTCTTTCTCTCTCTTTCTCTGTCTCTATATATATATATATTAATTTGATGCAAAATTCATTTTTACCACATTAATTCTTCCCCACAGATTTAAGAATATCTTTATCCACCTCTACATATCCACTTTCATCTGGATAATATATTTTGAAATCTTATTGACTGAACTGCATGTTTTCCTGGAACTAATAGCATTAGGAACATTAATCAAGGCACATCCAAGAAAGTAGTTTCACGCTACAATATCTACTAATTTGCATTAGTTATACAAAAGATCATTTGAGTAAGCCATGTAGCACTGCCGGTTTGCTATTGGATAAGGCCACTGAATTGCATGTCACAGTATGAGAATCAAAAAGAAAATTATCCATTTTGTTTTGTCCCAAAGAGGCATTTAATTAGTCTACGTACTAAGCTTGAAATACCTGAAGCATAGTAAAATAATTAAAAATAAAAATCATAATCACCCAAGGACGGTGTAGCCCACCCCTGTTTGAAAAGAACTTTTAAAAAATAATTTCACAAACTATAGAGCAGCCATTTGGTATAATATTTAAATCAAAGCCTGTTCAACCTGAAATCCTATAGGTCTGAAGTCTAATAGATTCCATAGAAGTTGATTTTTCTGAATAAGTTTAAACTAGTTGTCATAGCAATCACAAATTCTAGGTATTTAGTTGAAATACTGTGTTCTCTTACAGAGTGAAATCATTCGGGATAATCCTGGAATTTTGGATTGCCTGAAAGAGGGCATAGGCAGAGCAATGGGCTTTGGAGTCCCCCATAGCAAGCGGCTGCTCCCTCTGTTGGCATTGACCTTTCCAACAGTTCTTCATGGAGTCCTTCATTACATAATCAGCTCTGCAGTACAGAAACTGGTCCTCTTCTTCCTAAAGAAAGAGAATTCCCCAAGCTTTCCAGCTGAGAACTCTAATTCTGTACAAAGCATGTTGGATGCTTATTTTCCTGAACTCATTGCTAGCTTTGCCGCCAGCCTTTGTGCAGATGTTATGCTTTATCCACTGGAGACAGTTTTGCATCGCCTTCATATTCAAGGGACACGCACCATCATTGACAATACGGACCTTGGATATGAAGTTCTCCCCATCAATACACAGTATGAAGGAATGAGAGACTGTATCAATAGCATAAAACGTGAAGAAGGAATATTGGGGTTTTACAAAGGGTTTGGGGCTGTTATTGTACAGTACACACTGCATGTAGCCGTATTACAGCTTACTAAAATTCTTTACTCCACACTGCTTCAGAACATTTCTTAAAAGCTAATGGATGTGGCCATTTAATTGGCTACATTTTCAAAAAATAGGTACATTACTGAAATCTGAAGGATTAAAATATATAGTAATGGTTCCTTCATAAATAAAAAGATAGGGGAACATATATCCTTTACACAGGCCATGGTAAGAGGAAACTGAAATGTGTGGGTCAACACAAGGCTTTTAAAATATTGAAATGTAAATAAAATATTAGAAGGCATTTTATAAATCTGTCCAGAGTATGATTTTCAGAGTGATGATATGTAGTAGATACAATTCCACTGGCAATTTCTCCTGCATAACTATTAGAAATAAACAATAGCTATATAAAAAGAAGCTGTGTTATTTTTAAAGCCTTGTCTCTTCTTAGAGGGACCTGCACTGAAGATCGTTAATATGAACTTAATTTGGCAATCTTGGAATAAACTCAGAAACCTATGAACTTTGTCAGTTTTGTTGAAGAACTTTTCACATAATTGCTGTAAACAATATTGCTAATATCAATAATATGAATGTAAACAGCATTTTTCCACACTGGACTCTTGTTGGGTTACAGGTGTACTTTTTCCCCCAACGTTTTGTTGATAAAACAGTATGTGGTGCCCCTAAAAAAACAAAATCCAAAATTGTTCTATTACTTGCATAAAAGAAAAATGTCATGCAGTTGAAGTTCTTCTACTTGACTGCTGAGAAGAATGTTGGTTATAGTTGGCACTACTAGAATTCTTCATACAATATTAGAATTCTGCCTCACTACAATATGAGGTCTCAGAAGGTTGTCATAAGTAGACATAAGTCAGGTAACTACTAAGATGTCTCCCTAAGATGGCATCAAAATACTTCCAATGCAGGTTAATTGAGTTTAATTGAGGTAAATACATTCCAAATAAATATAACTCATATATATCAAGGAAAGTTTTACTGATAATTGTCCTTCTGCACAATTATCATGGCCTTTAATTAAAGCCATTATTGATTTGAAATACCCAATTTCAAATGTGAAACAGGCTGGAAGTGTTTCAAGTGTTTTAAACTCAGAACAGTGCTGTTTTAAACTTGAAACACTTCAAAAGTGATCAAAATAACCTGCTTTGCACTTGATAGTTGTTTCACACTAAAACAGAATTTTGAATTCAAATAGGTTGAATGTGAAATTGTTGCATACCTCTGTTTTCAAATTTTAGTCTATAAAAAAACAGCTTGTTTTCAGTATTGCTGATATTTTTCCAAGAATCAAATTGAAATTCATCCCAGAAATCTAGCTGAATTTGGTGGTCTTTATATTTCCCAACCACAAATATAAAGACCACCAAATTCAGCCTATATTGTATTTAAACCTTTGTTTAATTGTTTTTCAGAAATAGCTACTGTAGAGCAGAATTCTCTTACCCGTTAGTATAATATGCAACACTGGACTGCAGTCCATAGTATGTTTCCTTTTAAAATGACACAATTTTGTTTCAAAAAGCCTAATTCCATTAGACGTCTATTTGCTTCTGTGTCCAGGCTTGATCTAATGGAAAATGTAGAAGGATGTATTTTACAATGCATTTGCATGCTTTAAAAAAAGCCTTTGGAAAAGTTCCTGTCTCTTTCAGCAATCAGTGTGTTGTAAAAGACTAGGTATATCTTTATGAATCTAGAAAACTAATATTTCAGAATTTATGTACAAAGTTCTTATTTATGGGGCACATCTGTTAAATACACTCATTAATTATGAAGCACATCAAATTACCTTTGAAAAGAAATTGCAGAGGAAGAGGTTAAACTTGTTAATTAATTTTTGTGGTTATCAAAGAATTGGTGTGAGAATTGAAGACACCAGGCGACTTCTCTTGTATTTGAACTGTTTTGCCAAAATAAAATAAATGTTCCAAACAAATGAATTGAGAAGAGGGTAATAGTGACATATTTCAGCTTTTCAATGTATGTTGTAGATGTAATCTTTTCATAATGCTTCTACTAGGTTGAATGCTGGAGTCCTAAAGGAATTGTGCACTTTGTAAGCTCTAATAAAGCTATAAAATGTTGTGCTGTGATGAACTGCTGGGTCCCTCAATTTACAGAATTTGTTTCTCAGAATCCCTGGAGAAAATCTAAATAAAAAGTGATGTAAATTTTGTTTGACATATTGGAAAAATATTTGGTTATGCGCGTGATAAAGTACCACTTTACATATTATGCAGTCGATGCATGTGCTACCTGTGCAGCAAACTGTATGGCATATTAGATTAATGTGGAAATGGTGTACACAGATTTTTAAAAAATATATTAAGCTGCTCTATGTCAACCTTAGTATATTACCATGCTCAAAAAAAGGGGGCTTTGGGAGAGTAGTTAGTTATACTTTGAAGAATTTTTTTTTAAAGCTTTTAAAACATGCTGAGAATCAAAGTATTACCATCTCATAAGGCACTTGGCAGTGAACATTTTTATATGATAAGATAAAAAATGCCATCCTTAGTTCTATGAAGAAACGTTTAATGCAGTAATATATTCTAAGGCAATGTTAATTTGTTAAATTTGTTGCAAAATGTGGCTTCCTTGTTACTATAATTATTCCCTGTGGGCTTAGTGCAAACAGCTGAAAAACCAAAGGAAAAAGAAATATCCAGAATAGGAAAGTTAAGAATCTTATGGTAGATTTCTATAACTTTACTACTCTTTTAATAATAGGTCCAAAATATTATAAATTAGTTATTTGTGCCTCAAGTCAGAACTCTGGATTGATCTGTTCTATGATCCATCTGTTTGTTTTCTTGGCTATTTTCAGGAGACTTCTCCATCATCAAATTTTGAAAGCATCAATACACTTTCTATCCTTCAAAGCCTAACTTTAAGTTCCATACAGTGTCACAGGGAATTGTCTGCACAGTTCTGATCTTTGTAGATACAGACACATCCCTGCACCTGAATATCTTTTCCAAGACTTTATTACTCTACCAAATGCTAGTCTGTGGCATATTTCTCGACTGCTGGCTTTTTTATTTCAATGTCGTCAAGTTTTGTTGGCTAGATACAATAAATCTTTAAAATTCTTCATATAGTATTTTGATTATTTTCTTTTCTGATTGTCAGGCTGACCCAACATTTTATATTAATATTATTTTACATAAAATAATATTAATAAAAATTTACCTTTGGCTCAGTCTTAGGGATATATGAATTTCAGCCTTAAGATACCCATATCAATTCCACATATAAAAATGCTATCATGTTTACTTCATTTCTCTGAGAAACTGCAAGTTTCAGTATGTATCAGAATTTTATTTATTTAAAGTACTGAAGTCTTATTGATGCTTAGTAAAACTGATGCTTATTCATAAATATAAAGCTAGCGCAAAGATAGTTTGCAATATTTTTAAATCTGAGGATCATACTTGGTATACTTATTTGATCAAATGTAGTTTATTTGTGTGTGTGTGTGTGTGTGCTTTTTTCCTTTTGTCACAAAAAAGCATCAGTATTTGATGGAACTTTCAGAGAGTTTGGGGGACTGCACCACATACTCTGAAAGCTATAGGTTGTAACCCATCAAGTTCAGTCCCTGCTGTCTACAAGAAATCCAAATAAAAACATATACAAAAATGGTTATCCAGCACTGGTTATCCTGCACTCTTTGAGTAGTTGGTCTGCTGTTAACAATCTTTACTGTTAGGAAATCTTATTTAACATTTAAGCAGGATCTGCCTTCCTATAACTTAAATCCATTATTCCACATCCTCTTGTCCGGCATGATAGAGAACAGATTTCTGTGTGACAATTTTCTGGTATTTTCAATCATATCTTCCTTCGGTCTTTTCACACTAAATGAACCCAGTTCAAAACAAGTATTGTCTGAAACATAAATAACATTCTAGGTAAAAGATTCATCTTAATCACAGAAATTCTCCCTACAATGACAATTGTAATTTTCCCACCTTAACATATCTTTTTTAATTTCATTCCAAGTCTTAACATAATTATTTTGAAACAACATACAATTCATATTTGTCAGAGTAACACCCAAGCATTTTACCCTTTTTTCAATCTTAAAACCGGTTTTGTTCATCAATTCCGTTTGATTTTATATCTACATATATTTTGTCAACATCTTTGTCTTCTGGTTAATAATCTCAAAGCAAGCTAGTGCACCAAATTCTTTTAATTTTCTCATTAATAATTCAATCCCATTTAAGGGATCTTCTAACACCCACACCAAATTATTTGCAAAAGCTTTCAACTTTTAAGTCTCCTTTTTAATTTTTACACCCGTTACCCTCTCATCTCATGATTCAATTCAAAATTCAAGGACCAAGATAAAAGGGATAATGGACAGTCTTGTCTTGTTCCCTTTTGTATCCCACAAGGTTTTGTTAAATTCCATTAACAATAGTTCGTGTTTTCTGTGAAGTATAAATCGATTTTACCCATTTCATAAAATTCTCTCCAAAATTCATTCCTTCTAAAACTTTAAACAAAAAAGGCCAGTTTAAGTTGTCAAAAGCTTGCTCTGCATCTAAAAAAATTAATGCACCTTGTTTTTCATTATGCTATTCCAAATATTCTACAATGTCCAGTGCTGTTCTGACATTATCTTTTAATTGTTTTTAGGTAAAAATCCACATTGATCTTCATGAATAAATACTTGTAGAATTAATTTTAGTATATCTGCTAGGAACATTGTAAATAACTTATAATCTTTATTCAATAATGATATTGGTCTATAATTTTTTGTTAAAGTTAGATCTTGTCCCTCTTTAATATTAATGCTATTAGCCTCTTTCCAAGATCCTAGCATCCTACATCCCTGTAGGATAGAGTTCATTCTATTTTGGAGGGGTTATAAAAGTTTATCCTCAAAGCATTTACAATAAGAGCCTGGTAATCATCTGGTGCTGGTACTCTTCCTGGTTTAAACTTTTTTATAGCTTCAGAAACTTTCCTTATTGTTTTAGATCCATTCATGATCTGTCTTTGGTTGTCTGTAAGTCTTGGTAAATTTTGTTTTTTTAAATAGTCATCTATTTTTTCCAAGGGAATGTCATGTCCTTTATACAAGTTAGAATAATACTGATGATTTTTTTTTTTTGTATAGCCACGTGGTCCATTAATATAGTATCTCCTCTTGAAGTTCCAAAATCATCTTATCTTTCTCTTTTCTTAATTTATATGCTAACCATTTCCCTGGTTTATTTGCAAATTCAAAATTATTTTGTTTAGTATAATTCATCTTAATTTCCATTTCTCGTACTGTTAACATAGATAGCTGTTGCTGCAGTAATTTAATTTGATGTGAGATATTCATGTTTTCTGGCGATTTCCTTAATTCTTCCTCTTTTCATCTCATCTAAAATACCTTGCATTTTCTCTTGAGTCTTCTTTTTAAATTCAATATTATGTTATATAAAATACCCTCTGATTAAAGCTTTTCTTGTATCCCAAACCATTCTTAAATCAGTACCTTTATTAAGTTGTTTTCAAAAAATTCTATTAATTTCTTTTTGCAGTCTTTCACAATCAACTCTTTTTGTAATAACATTTCATTTAGTCTCCATCTAAAGGAAGTAAATTTCCTTTTACAAATCAAAATCACAGGGTTATGATCAGAGAAAGCTTTTGATAAGATCTCAGCTTTAGAAGTCTTAGTAGCCAAGTTGTCCAAATCATCTATTCTTGAAAATGATCTATGTCTTTCTGAAAAATAAATATATTCTCTAGAATTCCCATTTTTCTGTCTCCATATATCCACTAAAGCTAAACTATCCATCAAATCAAAAAAAGGCTTTGGTAATTTGAGTATTTTTAATTTTCTTCTCTGATGTTCTCTCTCTCTAATTATGGAGAGACCTCTCCATTCCAGTCTCCCATCAAGCACCAATTTTCATAAGAAAAGCTTGCCAATTGTTCTATAAGTTGTTTATAAAAACTTCCTTTATCTTAATTTGGAGCATAAAGTCCCAGAACTATAGTTTTAACTCCATGTACAGTAATTCAACTTCCACCCCAACAAATCTTCCATGTTCATCAGCTTTGGTTTTATTTGGGGATTATTTATATTTTATTTATTTTATTTATTTATATTTCAAATTTCTCACCGCCCATCTCACTGTAGAGTGACTCTGGGCAGTTTACAGTAAAAATAGAATACATATTACCGTATTTTTCCAACTATAAGACGATACTTTTTTCTAAAATCCTTACCCTAAAAATT